ATGCAAAATGAAGCTCTGTGTTTTTAGATATAGTATAGCTTTTAGTTCATAGTAACATCTGCCTATCCGAGACCTTTCTTTAGCAAAGTTATATTAATTTGATATACTTCCCCCTTGCCTAAATTTAAATGCAAGGCAGATCCTACCTACCTAAATAGCATCCTGTTCTTACATTTTTCTCAACTCTGCTGCTCCATCAAAATTGATCCACCTTTCTCTTTCTGCTGGGCTTCTCCAATAGGACAACCAGAGCTATCGCAATAATGAGTTAGAGTTTTATGCTTTATAGATATCATTTGCATCCTGTTCTAGCATCAATGTCTTCAAATAAAAGTGAATACTTTGACAGTATGATATAGATGGTACCCACAATCTGCAAGTATTTCTAGAGACAGGCTTGGTAGCAGTAAGACCCAGTACACAGAGAAGAGATATAGATTGAAATGTGTAAGGGCCATTTAGTTAGTCCTATCCTCACCACTCCATAGACAATGCAACCTAATTTCTCCCAAGTTTACTAGGAGGAGTACAATTTTAAGGTTTCTTACCAGATGCAAAAATGAGCATTTCCAAGCTATAAAAGCATTATCACTTCCCTCTGTGCCTTAGTGATTGTATTCAGTTTATTGACACTGAAGCAATTTGAAAATTTCAGGGAGCCAAGTCCCTAAGAAATTTCTCTTCACCATATTAACTTAAGACTAATAAAATATTATAATCTGGGTTAATTAGTAAATGTTTAATATGTGGGCTACAAACAACAATATAAATATGTGCACAATACTACATTGGGGAAAATACCACCAACAGCAAAAACTTTAACTAGAATATGATAATATAAAGTGAGACTATATGTACTTACTATATTTCTTCTGCTTACATGTGTGTTTTTTCCTGTTTCCAGTTGTACCCTTAAAATTAGAAGCACAATTTCTAGTAGGTACTAGTTCTGATCTCTACTTTGCTTTTCTAATTACTTTTAACTTTGTTATATAGTATCCTGAACTTGTGGTAACCTTGCATTGATAACATTAATTTATTATTCCCTCCCTTGACTAAATTTAAATGCTAGGCAAATTTTCTTCAAGCTCTAAACCCTTCCTTTGAGTAAGTTAAGTTGTCAGTCTAACTATATTGTGGATTTGAGCATATAGGTTAGGTAAGACACAAAGAGTGAGGGAAATTTTCTTTCCACAAGTGTATAATCTACCCATTTTAGCTCCACTGGGTTACGTTTGCATTTGAGAAGAGGACCATATGAGGGACTGTGGATAATTGAGCCAAAATCAGTGGCCATTACTGGGAAAAGCTTAAAAAACAAAAGCAAAACATGTCCTTCAGTGACTTTGCCCCATTTCAAACGCTATTTCAATGCAGGAACACCAAGTTCTACTCATGTTTATGCCACCCATACTTCTACTTAAAATCTGTCCAGTTCCAGTATCCATCATAACTGTACTTTATGCAGTCATGATTCCTGATCTTAAACGCATTTTTCCCCACCGGTGGTCGGCAAACCGCAGCTTGCGAGCCACCTGCGGCTCTTTGGCCCCTTGAGTGTGGCTCTTCCACAAAATAACATGGCCTGAGGGAGACTATTTTGAAGAATTGGCGTTAGAAGAAGTTTAAGTTTACAAAATTTGGCTCTCAAAAGAAATTTCAATCGTTGTCCTGTGGATAGTTGGCTCTGTTGACAAATGAGTTTGCCGACCACTGCACAAACTAACTTTACCTCAAATGCATTTCCCCCAACAACTAGAATTTTCTTTGTTTTAATCAGGAAGTCTTTAGGAGGGGGAAAAATCTTTGGAAGACAAAGCTGGAAGGCAAAGATGGACAGCTGCAAGTGCTGGCCTGGGTGACCCTGTGAGATCCAGGGAGGCCTGCCAGGGAGGGCATGCCCGCTGGCCTCTTCCATTAAAGCTAAGGTGCCAGGGAACAAACAAAACACCCAACAATCTGCTCTTTTCATTTCCTTCAGCACCAGTTGGTTACAGGAAATAGTTCCAGAGAAACCACTTACTCTCCAAATTCAGCTGGGAACTTACCTTTCCCCGTGTTTATGAATTTAGCTCGGGCGTTTGTTGAGCAGACCCCTGCTCGCTGCACAGTGCTTTCTTGTTGACTAGGCTCCATCCGGGCAGCAATTAGCATCGGTTTCCTAGGCAACCATTCTGCACCCTACTGAGAAAAACCTTTTCTTGACAGGAGCATTCTGTCTAAAATTGTCTTGTTTTCCTTCTCTCACAAGCGTACAGTAGGCTTGTCGTTTCTTTTAACACGGCACTATTATTCCTGTTCTTAAAAGCAGAAACATGTACTGGCTTTATATTCTATATGATTGAATTTATTATCAATGTCACTTGTCTCTTAACAACCTGAAAGAAATCAACAAAAATGTGTTCTCAGGCTTATGCCAACTTCCTCCCTCCCTCCCTCCCTTCTTCTTTCCCTCCCCTCCCTCCCCTGTTTCCTTCCTTCCTTCCTTCCTCCCTCCCTCCCTCCCTCCCTCCCTCCCTCCCTCCCTCCCTCCCTCCCTTCCTTCCTTCCTTCCTTCCTTCCTTCCTTCCTTCCTTCCTTCCTTCCTTCCTTCCTTCCTTGTTACTCAGTGTAATTGGTGAGCCTTTGCTTGCTCATCGAATCACAGCTGGTCCTGATGAAAACACAAAGGGTCCACTTTCAAAACCCAACTTCTGTGTATACCAACAGTGTCATATGTGGCTCTAAAGCAAGTTGAAGTTTTCGGGGCCACGGAAAAAGTCACAACTGCATGGCTTGGTTATAAATCAACCATGCAATGTTTATAAATTAATATAACAAAATAACTAAACTAAAGTATGTGCTCAAAACCAGGCTTAAGACTGTCTTAAAATTTCTGATGTAAGTAAAGATACTGAGACTAGAAGAGCATAGCATGAACCAGCATCATAGAAAAACCAGGGCACTGCAATGATTATAAACGCTGAGTAGTCTGGTACAACAGTAGAGTCACATTTACAATATCATTTTTGTTTACATAATTAGTGGCCCGAGCCTGATATATTGTCTCTGAGGCATTGTCCCAACATTTAGGCAAGGAAGTACTCACTGGGAAAAATGACAGAATCATCTCAATGGATGACAAAAGTTTTTAAATCTTTATTGACATGTCAATCAAACAATGATCACAGACATTAGCAAGACAGCGAGAGTGATTAAAACAGTGTTATGTAATTTAAATAAGCACTTAATATACATTATTTTATTTAATTGTCACAGCACATTAAAATATGAATTGCCGCTTTTATACCCCTTAGCATGGGGAACCTGAAGGTTAGAGAGATGGTCACTGACTGTGGCTAGAAACAGATAAAGGCAGAATTTGATTCCAAGTTTTCTGACACCAGAACCTATTATTACACATACTACACTGATGTAAGTCAAATGACACCCAAATGGGACATTAAGTTGCCTTTATCCGTTATTTTGCCAGTTTCCCCATCTTAAAAAAATGTATGATTAGATAATATTGACAGGAAAGAAAAGTACCTAATTGAACAAGTGGTCTAATAACCTTGCATCACAATATAATTGTTTTTGTTACTTAGGTGAAATGTCAGTAGCTTAGCATAATAATTTTTATCCAGCAGTTTTCTGTGGATGAGAGCATGTCTCAGTTTGTTTCTTATACCTATTTGGCTCCCATTTATCTTTCCATCAATATATTTCCCCAGTACAAAGAAAAACTATTATTTCTTACGAGAATTCAATTTATCTATTGAAGACTGCTTTGGTACTGGTTTTTGAAGTTTTTAAACAGACTTTACTTTTTACCTGCCCATCTTATTCTATATAATGATGACCTATTATCATCTGTTCCCTCGGTTATATCTTTAAATCCTTTATTTTTTATATATCAGCCAAAAATTAATAACATTTATTGGATGTTATAAGATGAATTGTTTTTAAAAAGTTGCTTTTATGTTTTTCTTCCAACCGATTTTTAGGCAGATCACGTAACAGATTATTTCCAAGTTGCCTTTCATTTTTCTTAAGCGACTTGACTTTACAGCTATGTCCTGAGATGCTTTTGTATTACTGTCTCATAACCAGAATGACATTATTGATAAAAAAAAAAATAACCAGTTAATATTCAAACACTGGTTATAAGATCCTCACAGACTGATCACTGTAATGACCAAGCCTCCCCTCTTTTCTATGAAACTTTTGTACTGACTAGGTGGGTATATATCATAGACCTTAAAGATCTAATGACATTCATGGAAGTGATATATAAAAGCTACGACTCACAGAATCACAGCTGGTCCTGATGAAAACCCAAAGGGTCCACTTTCAAAATCCAGCCTTGTATTTACCAACTGTGTCTACATAGCAGATGTTTAAAGATGTTTTAAAGATCTTTAAGACATCTGCCATGTAGAAAAGTCGTGGCTCTCATATATCATTCCCATGTATTTTATTCAAGCTCTGTCTTCTCAGGTTTTTCTGAATTTGTCTCGTGTGCGTTGATCCTGTTTAATCACAGATTCGTATTTTGAGGCATCTTTGTTAGGTTTTAAATCACGGTATTTATGTAAATACAGCATAGACACTTATGGTAATAATACTTTCCTTAAGAAAATTGTAACAGAACTCAAAAAAGCATATTTAAATTAAATCCAAAATGAATTCTCTCTTTTCTTTGTATTTGTTTTACTAGGTACAAACAGCTTTTAAAAAAGAAACTGCCATACCTCTTACTTATTTTTCTTTCATTCTGTGTTTATTTTGCTTATACTACCAATTCCTTTTGCTTTCCCTTTTTTTCTTTTCCCTTTTCTTTTTATGGTTACAATATAGGTATTTGCATTTTTTTCTGCAATTTAATACATTTTATTGTACTCTTGGGGGGAGAAGACAAAGGAAAGGAAATTCTGATTGATTGTATTATTTACTTTTCCTCTTTGCTATCTGTTCTGGACATTTCACCATTTTATTTTATGTTTTGCTCTTTGTTGCAGAGGAGGTGTCTGCCAGGATAGTTCAAGTGGTCACGGCTGAGGCTGTCGCGGTCGTGAAAGGCGAACAAGAGAAAGAAGCTCAGCATAAAGACCATCCTGCAGCCCTGCCTTTAGGTAAATGAGAAAAGCTCAGACCAGGGGCTGCATCTGCTACTCCCCGATCACAGATCACGTCTTCATGTTCCAAGACAGGCCATATCGCACACCTCACTCAGCAGAAAGCTCTGTGGGGATGCTCTGGAACGTCCAGTATTTTCACCTTTCGCAGCAGGGTCTTTGTGGCAGTAGAGTAGTCTTTAGGGTTGATAAGCTTATTGTTAGACTTTGCCCCTAAATTATTCTTAATTTTTCACTTCCAGACCACATGAGATAATTATTATAAAAATAAAGCCAATGCACTCTTATCTCATCGCCCCCATTTGTAAGGAAAATGTACTAATGCTTTGATTAATATAATTGTTTCCCTTTGTGGGTTTTGGTAAATGATTGTCTAAGTACTATAGTCTTCTTTGGGTCTCTCTGAACCAGGACATAAAACCTATAATCAGAGATTTGTTAGAATTCAATTCTTTGTGTCCCATGTAAGATACTGGTCTTCACTTGGTTCATTTAAGGACACTCAGAAGGCATTTGTCTCTCCTATGGTCACAAGTCAAATGCCTTTCAGGGCCAAACAAACAGGTAATGTGATGGAGCTTGCCAACAAAACACTCTCAGCCATGGGCTTACGGCCTCTACTCTCCATAAATATAGATAGGTGATTGAAAAATGATAGATAGATAGATAGATAGATAGATAAGTAGATAGATATGCCAAGACACAATAAAGGAAACTTCTTTGGTTTATTTCATAAGTTCATAGATGTAATCCATAGGAAGGTATGTTTTTTAAAGCATAAAAATAGAACATAACCTTTTTCCTCTTACAGTCTCATGTATCCTTAATATTTGATTTTCTGATCAGTAATTTCTCAATTGTCTATTAAAAATTAAACAATCAAAAGTCTGCTTTCCCATAATCATAATTTAAAATATTCTTATTAATTATCATCAGATGTTCTTCATCTATTGTTTTTCTCCTAAAACGGAGAGGGAACAGTTATCTAAAACATTGACCTTATGTCTGTGGTTCACTTCTGTTGCTTTGAAATAAAAGAAACCCTCACCTTTTCTTTTTCAACCTGAAACCTTAAAGTATGCCAGGGAAAGGTCCACAGGGTCAAAGAGCTAAGAGTCACCTGCCATCCCAATGCTGCCTCTGCTTTATGAAATAAAAATGTACATAATCTTTAGAATAGATCTTACCATTGGCCTTGACTGATGACTATGTCCTCCTTTTGAAATCACTTACCTTCATATGAGTAGTCATAAAGTGTCTTGAGGAAATTTAGCATTAACTGTAAATGAATTACAGCTTTCAGAACCGTTCTCTTTGGTCCTTCTTCATGTAAAATGCCAAGGACAGAACATTACTCAGCTCCCACTGGTACATGTTTCTGTCTGGAGGTTGCCTCTGGCTATGACCACTTCATTTTTCTTTTCTGAGCATTCATGCAGATGATGGGTTTCGGTATCAGACTCAGTGAACAAAATGCCATTTAGAAAATACATTTTCTAAAATAACTGAATAATCAGGGTAACATTTGTCTTCAGATCAAGATGTTGATCAATAAAGAATTCTAATTTTTTTTCAGTCCATCAAGCCAAATGTAAACTAAATCGCCTGCCTGTATGTGTTTGACTATATAGTAGATTAGGGCCAGGATGAAATCTTTTATTAATTAAACAGGCAGACTCAAATTAATGGGATGAATGATGGACTTTTAACAGGCATCTCTAATCCATTTTTATGGAGAAGACAAAATGATTATTTTAAAATATTAAATGCTCTTCTTTCTTTTTAGGTTTTCAAAAATGTGTGAATCAGGTAATGGAGCTAAAAATAAGTCAAGTGCACCGTACTATTGAGTCTTTCCTTGAATGTCATAGAGAGGACTTTTTATAGATGGCAGAACTGTCTACACATTTGCTGGCCTGAAAAAATTAATTGTCATATCTCATTTTTTAATTGTTTGATCTTTAGCAGCTGAAGAGACAGCTAATCTGCCTCCTTCTCCACCTCCATCACCAGCCTCAGAAAGGACTGTCGCTGTGGAGGAAGGTAAGGCCTTTGGGACCGTTTCAGGTTTATCTTCTGGTAAAGGATAAATAAACATCAATCTATCAATCCATAACTACTGGACTTCAGTATAAGCTAGTCTGTGACCCAGTTGGGAGCTGTATCATTCAAATAGTCAAGAAGAAACAAAGACTTAAATAAAAAATGTATAATTATATATCTACATAAAATCAGAAGTGGAGGAATATGGTAAACATAAAGGGAAAATATGCTTAATAAAAGAAAAGATAACTTTGTGCTTAAATTGCTAGAATAACTACAGAGAAATAGTTCACTTAATATAGAATGTTTTGACAACGATGGCACAATTTTATCTTACAAGTGACTAAACAAAAAATATATACATTAATGAGCTCAGCACCTCCTTAGGGAAGTGTTGTCAGGAATTGTCTCTTTTGCTGAACATTGTATTGCCAAGGTCTTCCCTAGAACCTGGGTTGTTGCAAACTCTCAGTAAATGTCAATGAATAAATAAAGTAGTTAATGAGTGAGTCTGATGCAGAGAGCAATGAACTGGAAGCTGAGATCATGGCTTCTTTCCTGCTGAGACCTGTTATTGTCTATGAATTTACTTACACAATTTATTCAACGTGAAAAGCCATATCAGCTTTTGAAATCTCATTGATAAAAACAGAGGATGCCTTTGAAGGATATTCATTCAGAATCTGTGATGAATGGGAACATTTAAAAGCAAACTATTACTGGTCCTTAGATCAGTGTATTGTTTGAGTGATGGGAGAAAGCAAAGGAAAGCTGCAGCTCAATTGTTATTTTCATGTAATTTAGTTTTCATATACTAAAATCAGAAATTTAACACTCATGCATTTTACTCATTTATTTCTTCATTTATTTTTCCTTTTGTTGTCCCTCTTATAGATCCTTTTATTATGTTAGAAATAGAAACATCACCAACGACTCATTGTCTTGTTGTAATTCGTAATTAGATTCATTTAAAATATTCTTTGATTTCCTCAGATTTTCCTAAATTACTAAACTATAAATGATTAATAAATACAATTTACTTTTTGTCACAGATTTATAGGCCAAAACTTTTTTTGTTTTTTAAACTGAAGACTTTTTTCAGACTTACTGCCTGAAGTATTGTTAAACAAACTAAATTATTTTTAGTAAATACAAGAAAATTAGGGGTTATGATCAGTACATATAGTTTCATAAAAGCCACTGATTATTAGTTAATTCTCTGAAAATGTGATTTGATCTTTTAATTCATAGATTTGAGAGATTCTTTTTGCCTTATGTTCATCCATTTATTCAGCAGATATTTATGGAGACCCTACAATGTATGCAGTTCTCTTCAAATCCTGGGTGTACATTAGTGAACAGAACACATAGGATCTCCATTTGTAAGGAGCACATTGTCTGGTGGCAAGAACAGAAACCCAATAAGCTTACACATAATTTTGAGTTGGATTAGTACTAGGAAGGAAAAGAATAGGGACTTTTACTTTGGAATCAGAGGAATCTTATTTTATTGTATGGTAAGGGACAGTTAAGAAGCGGAGCCTAGAAGCTTGAATAAGTGTTGGTCAAGCAAAGGTGGAGGGAAGGGGCATTTTGGACAGAGAGACCAGGGTATGCAGGGGCATTTAGGTGGGCAAGAGCATGACGTGTACTAGGAACTGACGGTGTTTCATGGCTCATGGTGAGTGAAAAGCAGGTAGAGGAGCGAAGAATTTGAGGGTGAGCAGCAGCCAGCTGGGTTGAGGGGCCTGGACTTCACTCTGAATACAGTGATGATAGTACCTCACTCAGGTCATTGGAAATGTTTCTGAGCCCCCTCCTCACAGCCTTTCAGGTGTCAGAGAAGCCTCTTAACCCAGAGAGGGGTATGACTCCACGTCCGCTGGAGGTCACAGAATTACTCTTCTTACTCTTAGATGGGGGTTGGAGCAGGAAGGGCCCGAGGGTCGCCATTTATCTGGGGATTTACCCAGTCTACCTTTCGGGGGGAAAGGTGTATAATGAATGTAATGAAAACATAAATGAAATGTAGAGTCGCATTTACATTTTAGTAACTTAGGTGTTACTATTCTGAGTGTAACCCTCCCTTATATTTCAGTACTTTCCCCAGGCTGTTTCAATATATTCTAAGAAAATGTCAACTTATCACTTCCCATTGAAAGCAATTCAAAGGTATTTTATTCTGAGCATTTTAAAACTTACATTCTTATTAAAATTTTTCAAAAAATATTGAGCTATACGAAGTCCTAATGATTTACTTTTAAGAGGATGACCATTTTTTAGTTATATTTTTAATGGGTGCATTTTACAAGCTTTACCTAATTAATTTAAAAGACCAAGTAGTATTCTCACTTTATATATGTATAAGATACATTGTCTAGACAATTAAACCATCCCTATCTTTAAAAAACAAACAAACAAACAAACATATTCTATTAATTTTTTACAGAGAGGAAGGGATAGAGAGAGAGCGCTAGAAACATCGATGAGAGAGAAAAATCAATCAGCTGCCTCCTGCACCCCCCCCCCCCCCCCCGCCCCACAAGAGATGTGCCTACAACAAGGTACATGCCCTTGACTGGAATTGAACCTAGGGCCCTTGAGTTCGCAGGCCGATGCTCTATTCATTGAGCCAAGCTGGTTAGACACTCTCTGTTCTTTTTAATCACTCTTAAAGTATTTCTAAAAACTTTTTAAACTTTATTTTGTCAGAAAATAAATTAGTGACAAGCCACAAGATAGGATTCAACTCTTCAATTTGTCAAACCAATTTGTTTTGTAGAGACCCAGCCAAAATTCAGTTAATGTATTGCTCATAGCATGTCCAAAGGAAATGAAACAAGTGAGGTTTTTTTCTAGAGTTCTTTTTGTCCTTTTTGATGCACCCTCAAAACAACCGTAATCTAGGGCACAGTGACTGCCACAGCCCAATCCCCTTTTACAATTGCAAGAACTCTTAGATTAAATTGAGTTCAATAATTTTGAAAATTATGCTTTTTATTAATTATCAAAAATTTTAAATGCTATTTTTTTACCAAAGCGGGACCATGAAAGCTTCCACTAAAAAATAACAATATGTTCATTACTGTCATTTATAAATATTTATTATAATCAATGTAATATTAATAATTAATAATTTTCAGAATATGTGCTTATTCTGGGAAACATTTAAAGGGATTTTGATGAAAAAAAATTAAACAACAGCCACACTTAGAAAGGAAATGCAGGTATAGTAAAATGAATACTGAACTAGGTAGGATGTTTTCAAATTTGGCCTCAGCATCATGGTGGTTATTTGGGATTTGGATGCCCATGCAAGAATAATGGAATCATCAGAAAACAGAAGCAGGGATCTTTTTGACCTCTTCGGTTTGCTCCAGAAGTCTAGGGTGTTTTTTCCTATGTCAGTGATGTGGCAATATTATAATTGCTAATCTGAAAAATTTCCCTCCATATCCTTCTGGGGCAGCAAACCCAGTTGGCCAATGGAAGAGTCCTCAGTCAAAAGCTTGCAAAATGGGAAGGGCTTAGAAGTGACAGAGAACAATGCACTTGGGGCCAGCCGCCTGCAGCCATTGGCTGTGGGGCAGAAAACGTGACGCCAAAACAGACTACCACTACTGAGTCACAGAGACCCGTGACACTCAGTCCCTTATAAAAAAGTGACTGCTCATTTATTCCCAAGAGAGGGGACATACAAAGTTTGGGTTTAACATGACAAACCTTATTTAACCCAATATAGATTTTCAGATGCTTTCCTTTAAAAAAAAAAAAAATAGATTGCATGAAAGCAAATTAAGAAAAAATGGATTCCTCCACTGAAACCATTAGGAGGTTAGCATTCTGAAAAAGAGCCATGTAACACTGCAAGGTTCATAAAGCTACCCTGTTCTTTCAAATATCACAGTATTAAAATGAAATGCAATCTTTTTGTGGCAAGGGAAATTCCCCAAAAGCATGTATACTTATAATAAAAGAAAGCATTCAGTTCTGACCTTAAACAGCAAAATTAGCTGGTAGGAAGTGAGTTTACTCTTTCATAAATCTCTCAAGTCTAGCTTTGATGTCAGATGAAAGTAACCAGCAGAGGTCCATGACCATCTGCCCGAATGCACTGATAGATGCTGACGTTTGTGGAATCCAGCACTGTGCTTGGCACTTTCTCAGACATCCTCTCATTTACTCCTCCTAGCAACCTGCAAGGAGAGATAGGATTCACTCGCACTTCTTGCCCAGGATGTCAAGGCCGGTGGATGGCTTATCCAGAATTCAAATCCAAACCTCATTCCCTGCAGCCACAGCCCCATTACATCCCTAAAGCTGTTTCTCATCTCGGTTCTTAGTGTGGGACTACGAAAACAACTTGGTCTTCCAATCAGAGGTGGTTTTTTTTTTATAAACTATTGGACTCATTTCCCCCTTTTTTCCAAATTACTCTAAAATAAATAATTCGTTTATTTATAATTATTATGTATCCTACCTCCATTAGGTATGAACCAAGAGCACCTGCCACACACAATTCCATAGCAAATGAGGATCTATTGTCTTCCATCACTGTCATTGGAACCACGGGCACTGTTTGCTGGTCATGGTCCTCTAAGCATCACATCCCTGACACACCTCTGGGACTTGTAACATAGATGGACATCAGGCTCATGGGTCCCAAACAGAAATCGGAGTACAGACAGCTCATAGTGCCAGGAGAGGACTGGACGTGGCCAGACATTCATTCTTTATGAAGTTGCCTGGCTCGGGTCCAGACAAACACAACAGTGAAGCTCCTTTTCCACGGCAGCCCCTTACAGTTGTTGCTGCTTTTGTTGTTCTCTGACTAGAGTCAAAGTTTTCAGAAAGAAAATACTGTTTTCTCTAAAAGGTTAGAGATCTAAAGTAAGACTGGGTTGTTTTCACTTTCAAAAAGAGCAGCGGCAACAAGAAAGAGAAGGTCAAAATCTTCAAAAGACTTACCCCAATCCAAGGAGTAGTGTCTTATACTGCCA